TAAAGGAAACCATTTTATAACGAATTAACAAAACAGTAGAATATAGATAACGAAGTTAGTCTCATAATCTGTTATTAAATAAAATTGATATAAATTTTCAATTTTTTAATTGAAAAATAATAACGCATTAATTATTCACAACAATGTATTATAGATTTTAATGTCACTTATATTTTCATGTGATGTTATTAAATTTTATATTAACTTGTGAAGTGAATAATATAGTAATATGAACTTAAAATATTGTACATATTAAATAGTCACTATTAATATTAAAACACATTAATAGTGTCAGATGTTTCATTTTCAAATAGATGCATATATAAATTGAATTACTATATTTATTAAATACTATTATTTTAAGATGTGTAAGCCATTCGAAATTGCTTATCTTAGCACGGTTAAAAGCCGACATTACTTTCTTATTGATCCAATATAGTTCGTCTGTAGTCGTCAAGATGGCTGATCGTGTTCCTTTTCCAGAAAACACTAAAAAGTATTTTTCAAACACTCGTTAATCATGCAAAGATATTCACTGTTGATACCTTTCATTGAAAAAATTACTCTCGATGACATATACAGTGAAAAGAATTTTTAAAATAAATTTAACACATCAGTATTATGTAAAACACTTTTGGACCTGGTAGTTCAAAAATATTTCTTAATGCAAATATTATATTGCCGATATTGAAATTTCAAGTTCCAAAGATGGATATACTTTATCGATTCTTCGTTAGATCAATAAAAAAGCATTAGAATATTTTTTAAAATTTTGTGTGGTAAGCAGCGAATTTATATTAATACAAAAGAAAATATGAAAATGGGGCAGCACATGGTTCAATTAAATTATGAAATTAGCAATCTTTGTTGATCCCGTTTATTCATAAATGTAGGTCGATGTTCGAATAAAAAGAGTAACGATACTCAATTATTTTAAATCATTAATTATTACTTTATTAACAAGTTAAGAGATGTAAAAGGATTTTATTCAATTATGACAAGAAGAGTAGGTGAAATTCGAAGCAGTGGAATAATAAAATAATTTTACTAAATTAATTTATGAGACTTGATATTCAATAACTTCCGCCCACTTGAAAGGAAAAATATTTTAAAATTAATGGAGCATATATTTCCATGACAATACTCTCTTCATATATATTTTAATTGATTAAAATGTTTAAACGAAGAAAGTTATTTGACTTCTGTGTCTTGCAATTTTTATTTTACATATAAATCCAGATTCTCAGGAGAATATAACATTTTAATTTTTACCTCTGAATAAAAGATTCACTTACTCGATGACAGTCGTGAAGTGATCGGTTTAAAATCCTTAGTTACTTCTTGGCGATCTACTAGTCGTATCGATCTGTTTATTTCGCCGACTCGAGTTGGTTCTGTCATTATTTCCTATATCGTATGTTCGTATACAATACATGTGAGTACAAAACAAATAATAATTTATTATAATTTTATAACTAATTTGACAATCCCTTCTTTCTTATGACAAAGGACATTATTTATTCATTAATACTTTTAAATGAATTGACTTAACATTAAATTCGATTTATACTTGTTATCTATGTTGTATACATTATCTTTTCGGTCTTAATTTATTGATAAGATTGATCGATTTTTAGAAAAAGAAAATTTCAAACTAGATTTTTGTAACTAGCAGTTGTATAAAGGGAAACATTTAGGATGTAATTTATGAAAAATGACAAAAATGTATGAAATATACAGGATACCAGCTAATTAAGATCGCTTAGAGTCGAGCAATTGTAAAACCTAGATTCCCGGAATTGTTGTATAATCAATCCAGTGGTTCAGAAAAGGACAACTATTTTCCCTAATGAAAGACTCTTTGTACTTGCACATGGTTGATCGAAAAATTAAGGGTCACGAAGGGGAGATTATAAAAAGTCTCCAAAAACATACGTTTTGAAACATTTAGTAACAAAAGAATTACTACAGGCTGTCCAATATTACGTTCTTTCAGATAAGGTATTTGTTTAAAAAATAAACGCATTAATTTTTTCAGAGAAAGTGTCTAAATATCATGTTTAAGATAATTGAAAACTTCAATAAAATTATCTGCCAGAATGCACCGATTAAGAGTAAAACTATATCGCATCTGAACATCCGAAAATGGACATGATTCGCTAAATTTACTTTGACCAATGCGATTCGCTTAAAAATTGGGTAACCACAAAGTGATTACATGGCTCACCGATTCCTGCCGTTTGAACTCTTCATAACCTCGATCGCTGATACTCATCGTTGCCACTTTTATTGCACGAGAATTTGATAGACGTTGATATGCGGAGTTCGCAAAGTGGAGCTCTTGTTTGTGTAAAACAATCCTGTCTGGATGTTACGCTTCGGCAGCTTCACCATATGAAGCCATTTAGTCGTGATGATCGAAACTTCTGAAACTGTGACAGCAATGCAATTGTGTAATACTGATACTGTTGTGTTCGATAATTATTTGCATATCCAAAGCAATGACGATTTTCGTAAATTCACAGTGTATCATTTAAATTGACTACTGCAAATATCATTGGAGCAGTTAGTGACATAAAAGAATACCTCGAATAAAAGTGAGATGATTTCAGTGGAAATACAATTCATGATTTTTCATCTAACTGCTAAATTATAATTTTCTGTTACAAACATTGCTATAGTTAAACATTTTCAATTTGATGGAATTGCTGATGTGTAGATTAGCACAGAGTGCTTTTAAACTATAAAATTTGCTGGCTATAAAGTCGAATAGAAGAACTAATGAGACTAATTGAAACTTCTTAACAATCGCGACCACTGTTCAGTTTTTCGGGTGACTCAGAAATTTAATTAATTTCATGGTATTTGGATTGCGGTGTGTTGGAAATATAGAACATATGCATGCAAAACTGTTTTAGTAAACCATATGAACGTTCATATAACTTTCAAAGTAGAAATTATAACTTTATTATACATTCAATATAATTACTATAATTATTTACTTTATTATAATTTCAAAAATGCTATTAATAGTACGTCTATAATAACGACAATAATATTAAGTCAATATATAATAAGAAAGAATATAAGACAAATATAATAATTTTATAAGAAATATGATAGATAATACAATGGAATATAAAAGGTCAGAAGCGTTACTGTAGAACAAGTAGAAATAGCGAATATTAGGCAGACAATATTGGAGCTGTAGCAGTTCCGCGGAAGTCACGACTGATCTTACGCGTAAAATCTTTTTATAAATATTTGTGAACGGATATCTGGTAAAGCTTGCCGACAAACAGCTGTTGATATATGATATAGTAAATCTCTATGTATTACATAGTAAATCCTGTCGACGATACAGATCAGTGTGGGTATGAAACATCGAGCAAGAAAGGAGGAAGATGCATCTAAAGTAACTGTTTTCTCAACATCTTTGTTTTGAGAATTTTTGAAAAATTTATATATCCTCAACAGAGCAATATTATTTGCGATAAATTTTGCTTTTCTTATTTTGCAGCGTGTGTTCGTTTTGAACAAATTCATTTGATCAAAAGAAAATAGCTTCAATGAAACAATTTTACATTTTTATAGCGATTTTTCGAGAAGTAACATTTCGGTGTAAATTTCATTGTATCATTTGAGTACACGTTATGACAAAAATTATAGATAAAAGACATAATAGTAAAACTATATGAAGAATATTAATCTTAAATGATTAAATAATCCTACATTAAGTTTAAAAAGTTGACTACAAATTTTTATGCAAAATAATAATTATATTCATTAATTTCAAGAAACATGACTTGGATAGAAGTTTATTGTTACTGTTAATAATTTTAATCATTTATGATTAATATCGTCGTAAAATCATTTTCATTTAAAGTCATTACATTTATCAGTTAATTAAATGTGTTTTACTGTCCGTGTACTGATGTAGTAATCTCTCACGATCCATATAAATATACATTATACGTATAATATATACAAATAAATTCGTAAATTATAAGTAATTTATGTAGAATTTATAATTATATGTAATTTAAAACGATATTTAACTGCTAACGTTTCGGTGCCTGTAGACGTGTGGGATTGTTCAAATTTGCAATTTATTACAAAACAATTTGTGATTCATTTTAATCTTGTAAGAACTTACTCTCCATTACAGTATCATTAAAACGCTGTTGAATTTACATTTCTATGTTGATATTTGCAGTAGGAAATGGTATTTACGTTAGAAATACATAAACCATTAATTATTAATCATCACGTTCCTGTTCGAAATGCCAATATCTTCTTTATCAGCAAACATTAAAATAATACGAGGAGGGATTTATTACCTTCGATGGAATAGTACGTTATCTTGAATCACGATCTTCAATGACGTTTGCCTTCACCAATGAATTGAACGTGCGATCATAAAAATTCTCAGGAATCGAAGATTCGTTCGCAATAGTTTCCTTCGACGTCGAAGATCGCTCATCCCTCAAACGAAGTTCTTTTAAGACTTGAACATCCGAGTCGAGGGTTCACGTTTTCGCACGATTTTATCAAGCAGAAAACGCCACTATGACATTCTAATAATAAAAAGATCAAACGCACCTAGTCGGAATCGATATTCTGTTTCTGTTTCTAAATGTTGGAATGACCGTTCCTTGTTTCGCGAGTCGAAAACACGGAGGCCGTAGAATACTTCCGAGGCTTCATTTCATGGAAAATATTTTCAGCTTGTCAAGCGTGTGCAACAGTGTGAACGTCGTCTTTGTTACGACGTGAATCCATCGGTTTTCGGAATTCCATTTAGCGAGCTCTTGTGTCACGACGACTGACGCTATTTTGCAAAAGGTTTGTACATGGCTATGCGGCACTATCAACTGCCACATTGGTCACATGTGGGTGACACTAACTCTTGACCAGGTGTACGTAGTACTTCATTTCTAGTGTGACGCGATCGACTAAATTTTGGTTTATTAGGATTTTTTAAATGCGAAAGAATTAAGGTAGTTTGCACCATGGCGTATTTCAACCTTCTACATTCGGTTTCATTAATTAAATTAGTTTCATTTTGTGGGAATTTTTCTCAGTTGACATTTTCATTGTGATTTATTTGAATAACCTAAAGTTTACTAGGATATTTGAGATAGGGAAGAGTCAAGATAGCATTCGATAGGATAAATTTCAACTTCCTAGTTTCAATTTCATTGAACAACTTATTTCTATCTTGTGAGAATTTTTGAGGTCGATATTTTTATTGTGAAACATTCGAATAAATTGAAATTTATTAGGATTTTTAAAATGCGGTAGAATTAACGTAGCATCCACTATGTTGAAATTTTACTTTGTAGTCAATTAAATTACTTTGATTTTATGGGAATTTTTGAGACAGATATTTGGCACTTAACGTGTTAATAGAAATTAAAACAAAATTTATCGCGGAACGTCTTTGGCGAAGACGTTCGCTTCTAGAGTGCTAGGCGCTGGCTCGTGGCTCAATAGAGATTGACGTGTCATAAACCTCCAGATGCGATGCAGGCTCAACCCGTCACCTCTTCGAGCCACTTTTAGAGGTCAATTTCACCACCTCACATTTGCGATGGACGGTCGTCTCAAAGTCATAAAACTGGGAATCAAAATAAATAATTATTTAAAATATTCTACTCGAACTTTTGTATGTTGCGTTTAAGAAAATATCTGTTTCCGTAGAACTTTTATGCGAAGACACATTGCTGGCAGGATCCTTAGTTTGAAAGTGTTCTGGATTTGATTAGTATCTGAACAATAAAAGTTGCTTGAACACAAGTTACCATAAAACGTTTCTTAAAAGAGGATAAATGAAATAAGAATAAATAAATGAAATATTAATAATATTATATGAATATAATATTATTAATATAATAAATGAGATATTAATAACAATTGAACGGTAAATTAATAATGTGAAAATATGACAAGCACCTGAGATTTAAAAGCGCATAATAAAAAAAGTAACGCTTTTAGAAAATCGATTTAGCTGTGAAGATTTTTTGAGGAATTTGTTCAAAATACATTGATTTTTGCAATATATTTAAACATCAAGATATAAGCAGCAGGGTCATTTTTTATGAACATTTACTATTTGGAAATTATAACTGTAGCTGTTAGTAACGTTCTTTCATATACAAACAGTCTTTTAGTGAATGTAAACGAATAATTATTTGTCGCAAATACAATGAGAGAAAGAGAGAGAGAGAGAGAGAGAGAGAAACTACGCAAAATTGTTCTTTATTAATTCTTTCTATCTTATCCGGTACCTCGTTGCCAGTGTAATGTAAATATCGTCGTTTTGTCGGACAGTATTGAAACGTATCGAATTTAGATTGAACAATTCCTTTCACGACACAAGCGTTACGCAATCCCGCCTATTGGATTTTAAGAAATTGGCACGTGTCTCGTGGTTGTCTGATTCTATAAAGCCGAATGGATGTTACGAAATCGATAATACATCTTCACGTTGAACTCTTCGGCACACGGTAGCCTAAACAGGGAAACGTGATCCTTGGTTCATCGATCATCTACTTAATACTTCGAAATTAATAACTTTTGCTCCTCGCACGATCGTTGAATAGAAATCACCTCTCCACTTTGAAAAACCAATTCCAATGAAGCTGGAAACGAGATCGGTTTTCAGTGGTCTTCATTCAGTCTACATATAACATATTTTTCACTTTCAATATATTATAGTATAGTTTTATTTCTCTACACTCTCACTGCTACGCCACAACCTCAAAAATTTCATAAATTTCAAGTATATAATTTCATCAAATTTATATTGAAAGTTTAAGTTACCGCATTAATTACATTTTTAACATTCTTACGTTTCTCGGGTTCTGATGAAACTAGAAAGATAAAATACATTAGCGTACAAATTAATTTTCGAATCTGAGCAAATAATTCCGGCGATCAAACTATTAATACACAATAATAAAATCTTAAATTAATACAGTTATGTGAAAAATATTTCTCTATACCAAGAAAGGATTCTAAAGTTGTGTTATCTTAATGAAGAGAATTCTAAAAATTATTTTGTTCTTTAAGAAAGAATTCTAAAAATTGGTTTATTCTGTAGGAAAAGATTCTAAGAATTGTGACTGTAAAACTGTGCAAAATCTAAAAAAAATCTCTGAACAATTTGTTGGTATTTTACGGTTTTATTAACCTTGAATATTTTTCCTCTTGAAAATCTTGAAAATATTTTTCCTCTCCACGTTTGACTTTGCGATATTCACGAATCATTTCGTCTGTATTGACGTATCTGTCACCTATTGTTTCAAAGATTTCTGCAAGGTACTCATAAAAGAGATATTTCTTTCTGGTTGTTTGATTTTGCACATAAAAGAGCAGACCCAATATTGTCTGTGTACGTCTTGAAAAGAACCTATTTGATATTAAATATTTGCAGCATTCACTTCGCTTATATTTATTTCACTTTTTTTACTCGTATAATTCACTATGCTTGAAACTGATCTTTTTGTTAAAAAGCAAATAGTCGCAATTTTATTGATTTTAACAAAATTTGAATATAATTATTAGGATAACAATTAACGTGTTATCTTTTCGTTTGTTCATGAAAACTTACTAACTAATTTAGGTGTGCAACTAGTCCGTCAAAATACTATTTTGTCTAGAACCATACTGAACATTAAGAATTTTATGATTTTGTTTATAATAAATTGTTATTGTACTGATATAAATTGTAGACTAATACATAAATTCTATTATTTCGAAATGTTGAGTTTCGGCTTCCTAAAGTTAAAGTCGCCAGAGTGTGATCATTAATTGCATGGGTCGGAAACTTTAGCGATATTTTACGAAAATGCACAGTTACGTATTTTGCCTAATTATATGTATTATATCTGAATTTCTGGTTAGTCCTTGGTCATATAATATTGTAGCCAGAGGTAGAAACGTATCGCGTAGGTGGTCCCAGTTCTAAGTAATAAAGAAGGTTTTTAGGACTACGAAATCATTCGACTTAAAATATGATCATGTGAAAACTGTGTGCAATTATTGCCAGAAGTTACAATACATTGTGCATTTATGCACAAGGCTAAGTGTAGGTGAAATGATGACAATTAAAATTATCAGAAGAATTTAAGAATTCGGCCATATTGCTTGTAATATATTAAAATTTTTAAAACATATAATCAATATCGATGCAGTTTCTATTTTTTGCAATCGAAGAAATTTTTCTTCTATACTGAGATCCGTGCATTAATATTTGTATGTCCTTTAAAACCAAACTTTTTTAGCATTAGATCAAACGGTTTCTTTGGATAAGTTCAAAGTGAAACTGGGAAAGATTGCAACCAGTCAAAATCGCGTGGAAAATATCAAACGTAGTTTTGCACAAACTACATACCTCCTTCTCCGTGCTGATATTAAGAAGTTAAAGAATTAGTTTCGTAGATTCGGGTCACTAAAATTTCATTGAAATTGATCAACAACGGTATGATCTGTGGGTGATAAATGATTGAAATTATGTTTCAAAGTTTTTTTCATTATGAACCCGAGCTGCTGCACCTGCATTGCTTATTTATTAAGTAGTTTTAACTAGTTTTTTAAGTTTTAAGTAGAATACTTCGAAGCTGTACCTGCTATTAGACTTACGAGAATTTTATTATGTTCAAAATAAGAAGATAGAAATTCATGCGATAAATAAAACCATAAATTTCCACGGTTCATGAATTTGTGCACGATCCGAATATATGGCATCAATAACGCTAATAATTACGTTTTGCTATTACTCATGCTATGTGGAAATAAATCTAGTGACCAGCCAAAATTGAAAGCGAGCAATATTTGATTTATTGAAAACTGTACAATGAAGCACGCGATGGAGTGCTTTCGAGATAAGAACTATATATTATGAAGTAATATAATTCACCAACCGCAACATAAATCACTAAATATACGTGCAGGATGTATAAATATTGATGGTAAAGATCATCGTAGCAACAAAAATTCTGCTTGACCTTCAAAAATCAAAAAGAAGAGGTCACATTTTAAGAAGAATACGATGGGTTCTAAATGGCATGTTTTCTTGAAAAATGATGTTGAAGTTTCAATATTGTTGTAACTAAATTGATTCGAAATGTTTTCTAATTTATTCGAAATTACATTTATGATGGGATTATATTATAAAGAGCGTGCTGATGATGAAACACAAGGAGGAACATTAGTTCATAATATATTGAAGTTCAGTAGGGAATAATTGTAGTTCCCTATGTAGAGAAGAGGTTTCTAGGCAACGTGATTCTCGATGGTTACATCAGCTATTTGATGATTAGAAATTATTAATACTGTAATGTCACAAGAGACGAGGGACTTAGTCCTTAACATGCTACCACAGCTTTCCTAAAGTTTACCGATTGACTTACCTTTGATACCTTTAACCATAATGTTTCCTTTTGATAAATCAAATTACTATGAATATGCATAATGCGAAAGATCCCAATCACATAATTTGGTAACATTCTGTGTATGACTTCCAAAGAGAAATCTTCATTG